TAATCCAAATATAGGCAAATTTACCTAAAAAGACACACAACAGGATAACACGTTCAGATAGAAGAGTGCCTAGAAGATGACAGCACGACTAGCTGTCGAAAGCGCTCGCAGATAATCAAATAGAAGTCAAAGAGCTTCAAATCCTTTTTGTAGCTTACATTAATAGTAAAATATATATAATAAATCACATACACGTCACATATCATACCCGTAATATGAAAGAACTTTTTTCTATCACCGGAAACAACTGAAAATATTCATACTTTTTCAATAATATCCTTCCAAGAAGTGGACTTGTTATGGTGGTGGTGCTTTTCATATCAATACTGATTTTTTTCACTTTCAATAATATCACTTTCGAATTATCGGCCTTTTATGGTGGTACTTTTAATTTCAATAGAGGTTGGTTGAGATTGATAAGAGGCGTAGCTTCTCACCCATATCTACATTTTTTGATTAACGAATGATAGTAACATGTAAAATCCAAATTGAAAACATCAGCGACATCTTTACCTAACGAATAACAGAACACATCAACTTGAACCCTCTGGTCATTGTTCAATTAAGAGTGTACAAGAACTATCATAAGGTTGCACAAGAAATGTTGCTACCACAAGTACTATCATAAATGTGTACAAGAAGATTCGCTACTATCAACTCAATATTGTTCCATCACATCATCCTCCGGTGATTGTCAACTACTCAATTACAAGACATGATCCCTGAATGACTTCTAAGATCGCCTGATTCAGCTTCAGGAGGCACTGTGGATGGACATGATCTAGTTGACTCATGTCACATACACGTCACATGAGCGTCACTTACACTCGCATTTTTTCGTCTGCGTCGGCGTATTTCAACAACTACTGAACATCTTCCTGCATACATAATGAAAATTCATACTTACAGAATGAATATCCCCTTTCACTTCATTTCATGTTTTCACAGATATTGTCGTCTCCAGGTTATTTCCAGATGTGTCAACTGAAAATTCTGTACATTGACAGTCCCTATTCATATAGGGACAATTCTAGCATACAATTCTATGATGATTGAGCATTCAGCTGTAGTTCTGCATTCCTTTGTAGGTTATCAGCTTTCTGTGCTCATGAATTTATATACATAAAACAAACAGGACCCCAATCAGATACTATCATTTGCAACATAGGTTTCATCTTCATTATTATTATTGTTTTCTATAGTATTGATGAAGGAATCCGATAAAACAAAAATTTTGGTGGTTTTTTTCCAGTAAGAGTTAATCCAGAAAGAAATTTCATGTACTCACGTACAAAATCAATGAAGCTAAAATATCTTTCAATTATTCATATAAATTATAATATAACATTGTACGTGTTAGGAATCACACGTTATAAGGTGAGACCTTTCACTAGTTCGGACTTCCATTGTCTACTACTCGGGTGATGACCCGAAGACGATTGTAGATACTAACAATCGAAACGTCGTGAACTAACGTGACTTGGAATCTCTACACTTTTTTATTTTTTATTATTTTCTTTTTGCATTCCTTTAATTTTTATTTATTCAATTATTATATTTTTACTTGTAGGTTACTTCACTATCATTTCATTTCTGGTTTGTTGTTGCTTAATATAATTGTTATTTTCAACTATTCTTTTTTAATTATTCTTTTTTACTTGTTTCAGGGATTTCAAATCATTTTATATAGTAGACAATGGAAGTCCGAACTAGTGAAATTCATCACGAAACATTGTCAATCACCTTCAAACAAGGTGAGACCTTGTTAATACTTAGCTCGCACAAGTTTCGACTTCTGAGGGTTGTCGTTCATAGGGGTGCGACACCTGGTTAACGGAAAAACAGATTTTAAACAGATTTTTTTAAAACATATCTGACTTGTTAAAGGTTGGTGCTAGATTCGGGACATCCAGTATATCGTTGCTCTGTTCCAGACAGTGCAGTAACCGTGTATTATTTTCCTTCAATGATTACAAATTTGTTTTTTATGTCCCACAACTGATAGACTAATGAACGGTGATTTACATGAAGCCATAAACAATCGCACCTACTTCTTTTATATATCTACATAATCATTATGGACACAAAATCGATTTAATATAGTTGTGAATGAATAATAAAGAAGTGTATAATTTTGATATGAATAACTCAAAAGAGTTGACTTCTACTTTTCGAAACTATCACTTGAGAACACGAATAGGAAGGCAGTACGAATTATGGAAACTGCTGAAAAACAAAGAAATCATGAGTGTGAGAGTAAATATGTGCACCTCGATGGAGGATGGGGATACATTATCGCTACATCATTCGTTGTATTCATGGTAAGTAATTTTTTATTCAATAACGAATATAGAGCCACTTTCAGGATCTCGAGAAAGTTCGTTGGATTACAAAGAAGTGTATAATTTTGATATGAATAACTCAAAAGAGTTGACTTCTACTTTTCGAAACTATCACTTGAGAACACGAATAGGAAGGCAGTACGAATTATGGAAACTGCTGAAGAACAAAGAAATCATGAGTGTGAGAGTAAATATGTGCACCTCGATGGAGGATGGGGATACATTATCGCTATATCATTTGTTGTATTCATGGTAAGTAATTTTTTATTCAATAACGAATATAGAGCCACTTTCAGGATCTCGAGAAAGTTCGTTGGATTACAAAGAAGTGTATAATTCAAATGTTAATGAAATGGTGTAGGAAAAAACAGCATGAAGCATTTTGAAATATTTGGAAATGTTCAAATCCATTCAGTTTCGGAAACTTTGGAATAGCAATGTACAAATCCATTCAGTTTCGGAAACTTTTTGAGAGAGCGTTTCGTTCAATATTGGCCACAGTCAATTTCTGTTTCCTTTATGCGGACTTGTATTTTTCTATAGAAATATATAACCATTCCTATCTTGTATTTAACCATCTATCGAGTTTTTATTATGTTTCATTTCCACGATACATTTTAAAAGCTTTCTATTATTTTATCCACTATTTCGAATTTCCATCAAATAGCGATGTAGAAAATATTACAACAGAAATTTATTTATCATTCTTGATTTCGAAATTAATTCATTGTAATCACTAACCTAACGAGATTTGTGATTCCAGCGAAGATCATGGGTGCGGGGGAAGAGGAGAATGCCACTATAAGATGAACATTTCATGTGCGTCATATGAAATTTGTCGGATTTTTCAGGGTTTATTAGCTGTGGTCTACAGGTTTTTATACCTGAGTTTGCGCATCGTAGCCAGGTGGATCAAACTTGAGGCTTGTAGCTTGAGGAGCGCAGTCATTGAGTAGTCTTTGTTCAAAGCCTTCATTATTGATGGTTATTGCTTTTTGAAATCTCTGTCTTGAAAATAAACAATTATGAGCAAGTCAGGCTATGTTGAAGTCCATTCAATTCTCAATAGTACTATCATGATATGCTTCAAGTTATGAGTTCCATTGTCTTGAAAGGTATTGAAATAGTTTTGAAATTTATGAAGGTGAAATTAAGATATGAACGGAGTGTTGAACTAATTGATGAATAATGCGTTCGGAAAATCGGAAACATCAACTCATGCACCAATTCGGGCTCTGCGACCATTACCATATCGCCTTTGATAATGTCTACCGCAGTAGAAGACGAAACATAAGGCATACAAACTCGCAGACCACGAAGAAAAAAAAAGGAAATGGTTTCCACACTATTCTGAAGATTATCGCAACCGCTATATCTGATTGGGGTAATTGAATCAGTAATACCATGTAATGTAGAAATATAAGACAAAACCAATAGCAAAAAATGTAAGAACGCCAATTTGTAATTGATTAAGGGGTTGAAAAATTCGCGTATTTTCAATACTATTCAACTGAAGGAAAGTAAAAAGGAAAAGCTGATGAAATAGTGTAAATATTTTACTTCACAAAGCTTCGATTGTCAGTGTTCACAATCGTCTGCGTGTGATAATTATTCCTGATAGTTGGTATTATTTATGAGTCACATGTGCACTTTCATTTCTCCCCACTCTCCCTTATTTTTTCTTGGTTTTTGATCTAGGGCGTCGTAGACTGTTTTTTTTTTCTTCATAAGGAGTTTCTATGAAAACTATTTGAATTTGAGAGGTGAATTTGAAAGATTTTGGAATCTGGGCAAATGAATTATCTTCAGCTGCATGTTACGTAAGTCAAAAAACTTTCCCTACTACCAGTCACCATCAGAAAAATTGTAATAATTTAAGATCGGAAAATATCTTGGTTGCTACAAATCAAGCATACGATGACTCTAAATGCCTTTACTGTAATAAAACTGGTCATGAAATTTACAATTGTTCCATATTGAAAAATGATAGTATAGATATTCGTTGGTCAAAATTATACAAAACCAAAATATGCTTATGTTGTTTGAAAACTAGTCATTCAAAGAGGTTTTGTAGATCAAACCAACGCTGCGGCTTTGAAGGATGCAAATTACTCCACCATACCCTTCTGCATAAAAGTAAAGTTTCTAATGAACTTTCTCATACTGAAAAAATCAATGAAACAGTTTGTCTCACCAACAATAATTCTAAAGTTCTTCTCAGGATAGCTCTTATCAAAATTTATGGCCCAAAAGGGTATATAAATACTTATGCTCTGTTCGATGAGGGGTCAACCGTATCTTTGATAGAAATTCAGATCGCAGAACAACTAGGATTATCAGGGGAAACCAAACCTTTGTGCATGCAATGGGCTGAGAATATTGTTTCATATGATGAAGGTTCAAAACGTATCAATATGAAAATTCCTGAAGTTCATGAAGGGGCAAGAATCATCCAAATGAGTGGTTTGAGAACAGTAACAAATTTGTCTTTACCTTCTCAAACCATCGTGATAGATAATTTCAAAGATTATGTACATCTTCAGGGACTACCTATTCAAGATATGGTAGATGCAAATCCTACTGTTCTCATAGGTCAGGACAATATCCATTTAACAGTAGCAAGAAAAGTTTATCAGGGTTCTGAACATAGTCCAATTGCTACTAAAACTAATTTAGGATGGATTTTCCATGGTAACACTTCAGAATCTGATCAAAATGTGTATAGCTTCCACATTTGTTCCTGCGATTACAATGATGAACTGAATCGTCTAGTCAGGGAATCTTTCAGTACCGAAACATTTGGCATTTCCGTTAATAATAAAATTATTGACATTGCTCATAGAAGAGCCCTTGATATTTTAGAAAAAACCACAGTTTATTTAGAAAATGAAAAACGATATGAGACAGGGTTGATTTGGAAAAATGACAAGTAACTTTACCAGAAAGTGAATCAAATGCTATGAGAAGGTTGATTTGCATTGAGAAAAAACTGTTGAGGGATAAATCATATTTTGATCAGTACTGCAACAAAATCAGTGACTACTTAAACGAAGGGTTTATTCGAAAATTAGAAACGTCCAAGGCGATTGAACAAAATTCTCGCACAAGGTATCTTCCACATTTTGGTGTCGCAAATCCTAATGAGCCCAATAAGTTGAGACTTGTTTTTGACGCTGCCGCTAAGAGTAATGGTATCAGCTTAAATGAAAGCCTTCTGCAAGGTCCGGATTATCTGACTTTATTACCAGGTGTTCTGATGCGCTTTCGTCGATCGAAATGGGGTTTCTGTGGGGATATAACAGAGATGTTCCATAGGGTAAAAATTCGCAAGGAGGATAGATGTGCACAGCGGTTTCTTTGGCGGAATGGCGAGCATCATAAGCAAATAGATGAATACGAGTTACAGGTGATGATGTTCGGTGCTTCTTGTTCTCCTTGTTCCGCATAATTTGTTGAAAATTTAAATGGTAAGCAATCGAAATATCCTGAATTGATTAAAGATGTCGAGAGAAGTTTCTATGTTGATGACTATCTGGATTGTTGTGATACAGAGCAAGAAGGACTCTCAAAAATCGAAAGAATAAATGAACTCCATAAAAATGGTGGTTTCGATATTGTCAATTGGTCTTCAAATTCACCTTTGGTTATCTCAAAATACGAAAACAAACATGTCGAAAAATATTTCAATAAGTCATCGTTGGACCGCATTTTAGGAGTATGGTGGGATGTGAAATCTGATTCGTTTACATTTAAAGTCGTTTATCATATTTATAGTTCTCAAAGAAATAACTGATGGTACGGTGATTCCTACAAAACGCCAAATTTTGCAGTCAGTTATGTCGATTTTTGATCCCTCAGGCTTTCTCACATTCTTGTCTATTAAGGGAAAAATCATTCTTCAGGCAATCTAGCGAAGTAACATCGGATGGGACGATAACATTCCAAAAACAATAGATGGTTAGAATAGTTGAAACGGTGGGGAGTTCTTTTCACTTGTATGACAATTCGTGCAATTCACTTGGAAATCGCACACTCCCTCACTGCTGATGGTACAATAATGGCTATAAGGAGGATGATATCACGCCAGGGTCCAATCAGACGCCTTTATTCAGAGAATGGCACAAATTTCAAGGGAGCGAATGAAGAACTTTCGAAATTGTACCTTGAACTGAATCACCAGGAGCTAATTCGAAGAATGACAGAGATGAAGATAGAATGGCACTTCATTCCACCTGGTAGTCCACATATGGGTGGATGCTGGGAAAGGTTAACAGGCATGGTCAAGAAAATTTTGTGAGTTACTTTAAAGGAAGAATATCCTGAGGATAAAATGCATATTCAGCTTCCGCGAAAATTGTTCGCGGAAGCTGAGTATGCTGTAAATAGTAGACCAATAACTCATGTTTCAGCCGATCCTTCCAATCCTCAGTGTTTAACGCCAAATCATCTACTGATTAGTTCGCCCTCAGAAAAACCATATCCAACAAAATTCGAAGAACAAAACCTAAGAAAGCAGTGGAAGAAGTCTCAAAGGCTGGCAGAGATATTTTGATCAAGATGGGTTAAAGAATATTTACCGACTTTATCGAAGTGTGCAAAATGGATCAAAGTTGATGAACCTGTTACGGTTAGCGATGTAGTCGTTGTTGCAGATGACTACCTTCCGAGAAATACTTGGCCACTGGGTAGAACCACGGCAGTATTTCCAGGAAAGGACAATATTACGAGAGTGGTCGAGGTGAAAACATCTACAGGGATCTTCAAACGTCCTGTAACCAAAATCTGTAGGGTGGATGTTGAATTTGGTGAAAATTCTTAAGAACTTTCACGGTGGGGAGAATGTTACAGATTATATATTTTGTTTATTTGTTTATCATTCAGTATATACTTTTTGTTCCATTCAGTTAGCTATGAATGAGATATGTTTATAAAAAAGTTGTAGTTGTGGATTGTCAAAAAAGGTCAATAGACGTCAAAAAGTATAATTTGGTATTTTCTTGAAAAATAAAGTTTCTAAGGAAATTACAACAACTGTGGGAACTAACAATTGAAACATCGTGTTACTTGATTCAAATTATCGTTTAATTTTAATGAAATTTCATTTTTGTTCAACTTTCCATTGGTTGTATACAGTGTCATCCCCAAATTATGCATTATATGGGAAACTTATTTATTATTGGTTTTTCGACAAAATGTTATTCCTGATGAAAGTTTATGCATCCCTTAAAACTAAACATGTACCAACAAAATACAGTTAAATTACGGAAAATGTTATTTGAAAAAATCGTTCAACATCAAAAAATACATCTAGATTAGAAGTCATCTAAATGAGCACTACGGAAAAAAAAATTACTGAAACGATAAATAGGCGGCATCCTGTATACGACGGTTTATTTTCAGAGCCTGTAATATTACGAATTACACAACTATGCTGTTAACCACGGTCAATTTTTTTGAAGAGTGAAATAATTTTTAAAGTTTTAAGTGCAAACTCATTTTTATTTTGTGTTAACATCAAAAATTACCCAAAATTATACAGTATTGTGAGAAGAATTCAATATTCAATAATATTAAATCACAAAACATCAAAATTAAATAGGTATTTTGGAACAAACTGATTGATTTTCTGGAGATTATTTTGGATTATTTTGGAAAATCAATGAGTTTGTTCCGAAATACCTATTTCATTTTGATGTTTTGTGATTTGATATTATTGAATATTAAATTCTTGTTACAATACAGTATAGTTTTGAGTAATTTTCGGTGTTAAAAAAAA